TATGTTTAAAATATGCGTTAGTCTAAAAAACATACTTATATATCTAAAATAACTTGTTTGCATCTGTAAATCTTGTGAAGCTCTTATTGGCTAGTTCGATGGGAAGGAAATCTTACGATCTTCATTCATCTCCCCCAAATGGTTTTGCAGAACATTCTTTTTGTAGTTTACTCCATCATTAATTTCAGAATAAATAGAAGCATGTTGACCATGGAATATTATCCTCTCAATTTTATTTTAATATGTTCACTGTTTAAAATTCTAAGCATTACATCATTTCTTTTTTTCAGAGAGGTAAAAGGAAAAGAGGTAATTTCCTAATGATGAAGCAATTACCTTTAGGATGTGGGAACAATGAGCATTCAATAAAAATTGCAAATAACTTCTAAGTTGCAATCGAATTCTCCCTGTCCTCTTTTCTGCTTTTATTCCTCTTTTTCAGTGGGAACTAAGCTCTCTGTAATTGTGACTTTTGTTGTTTAAATAGTTGTTGCCTATCTACGGTATTTAGCACATGGCTTCTGCTTATTGGTATCACACTAGTTAGCTCTCTTCTTGGTGCACATCTATGGCTTAGTAAAAGTAGAAGCATAGAGAATGCTTTTCATGTAGTTTTTTTTAAAAAAAAACTAAGCGAGACTATCAAATGAGAGAATTATATTTAGCTATTTATTTTACAATTGGCTTTAACTCACATTGGCACATTCATTTCACTGAAATTGTGAAACCATATGTCTATTAATGTATAACTAGGTCGGCTCTTTTCAGGCATGGAGAAAAGATTTATTACCTACTGGATATGTTTCAGTCAGTCCCTGAATTAATTGTCTTCACTTTGTCAATTTACTGTTAAGCCCAAGTCTGATGAGTTGAATTGTGTCCTACCTCTACCCCCCACCCCCCCACCCCCCACAAATCATGTCCTAACCCCTAGTATCTCACAATCTGGATGATTGTATTTGGAGAGAGGGCTTTTAAAGAAATGTTAAATTAAAATTATTGTGCTGTAGGGTGGGTCCTAATCCAGTTTGACTGGAGTTCTTATAAGAAAAGGAGATTAAGACACAGAGACAAGAATGGTGCTTGCTGTCAGAGGGGCGACTTTTAGCAAGAGCACAGTCATCTGTTAGCCAAGGAGAGAAGTCTGGAACAGATCTTCTCCTTACAGCCCTCAGTAGAAACCAACCTTGATCTTGGACTTCCAGCTTCCAGAACTATGAGACAATGTAAGTACCACCAAGTCTGTGGTATTTTGTTACAGCAGCCCTAGCAAACTAATACACCAACTATAACCTAAAGCTACTTTTTATACCTTGCTTATGGCTTATTTTGAGAGCAGGAAGTAAAGAAGAAACAGAGAATGGGAGTACGAGAAATAAAAATGGTGTCTGTTAACGGAGTTGGCTTAAAAGGAGGCTTCAGGTCAGCAGTGAATGTGTAGCATATTTAAGAAGGCATTAGCTAATGTCTAACGTTTTGATTTGGTGATTATATATTATGAATTTAATTGACTATGAATTCTGGAATTTATATATATTTTCTCTTTGTTGATAGATATTATCAATTAATTGCCAATTATAGAAAGGGGAAGAAAGTTAAACAGGTATCTAACTCTAAAGATACAATCTTGGACACTACATTTGATACAGAAGAACTGAAGGAAGGTAAGAAGATACAAACTGAACAAGTAGTTTTCCTTAATGGTTTTCATTTGTTTGCTTTTTAGGAAGGGATACAGCCTTATCAAATAACATTTAAATTTGAAATAGAAGTTCTCCTATTTTGAAATATTACATATTTTTCAAAACTGTTCTTAAGAAAATTTGTAATTAAAATATTCTGATGTGTTGGCTAAAAATGTAAAGAGAAACTGAATGATTAAGATAATTTTTATTCGTAGTCTAGTTATAAAAAAACAAAATGTGACTAGTTGTAATAATGATGACTAGTTATAAAAAACAAATTTTTAAATAAATATAAAGCTATTAGTAAATTTTAAATTTTATTCTAAAAGCGCATCAGGTAAATACAGTTGCAAATTGTTTATATAATATCTATCTAATATCACATAAAACTTAAAATTAGGTAACAGCATTTGTGAAGAATTGAAAATACCATGCATCTATGAAAATGATTTTTGGTTCTTATTTTAAAAAAACAACAAACATACATAGTTTTGGGATTTTTTTGTGTTTTTTTTTTTGTTATTGGTTTTTGTTTTATTGGTCGATATGTCATACTTCGACTTTTTTTAATCAGATGACATAAAAATTTTGTTATTCTCTGTATTCACCAATAGCCACACTCCTCCCCTTCCCTTCACCTATAGTATAAAAAAGAAGAAAAATAAAAGAAAACTTAAGGCAGAGAGGAAACCTGATGGCAATAGGTGGTCCCATTAGTGTCACAACTATTCAAACACTCTTTCTTCATCGCCTCAAATCTAAAGTATCTAAGTTATGATACTTAGAGCAGTGCGTGGTCCTACTGCCTCTAGGTGAGAGAATTTCCCTGAATTTTCCTTATAACTTAATGTCACACGCTCAAGAAATTTTGTTTCTTTGGGCCCTTGTTCTTCATCCTAATGTGCTCCTCTCCTACCCTCTCTCTATCTTTTTTATAATGTTCACATAGCTGTAAGAAGTAAGGAATGTCTGTGATTTACACTTCATTTCTTTAGGGAAATAAAGCAGTAGAAACTTAGAAATACCACTCTTATATTTTGAGTATCTCCTGAGGCTAAACAATTAAAAACACCCCTCCCCCCACATCCTTTTATCAATGGCAACACATGTTACAGTTTTTAGTGAAATGTTAATCTTTATGTCTTGAAGCATAATGGAAATATTAGGTCAAGAAAATTGCCAAAAGACATTGCAAAAGATGGTGACCTTTAAAGTTTGTATTTCTGTCAGATTCAAATGGGGTCATTTAATTATGCATTTTTAAAAATGACCATGAAATGAAGAAATATTATAATTATAATGTATAAATTATAATGTTTTGTAGCTGAGGCATAGACTTTAAGAAATATACTTGGGAATGAAAATATCTGAACATAAATGAAGACATTACAGATATTACTTGTTTTCTAGACATGTAACCTCATTTCTACAAATCCTTTGCTGCTGCCTTGAATTAGAAAATCATTTTGAAAGAACAACTAAATGAACTGTCACAGCATTTCACTGACTACTCATTTGAAGAAAAGTTTGTTAAACAGAGCAGTTTTTGCCTTAGAAGATGTGGAGAAGTTTCAAAAGACAAACATCTATATCATGAACTGTCAGTTGAAAGGATACAGGGGCTCCTGGGTGGCACAGTCGGTTAAGCATCCGACTTCAGCCAGGTCACGATCTCGCGGTCCGTGAATTCGAGCCCCGCGTCGGGCTCTGGGCTGATGGCTCAGAGCCTGGAGCCTGTTTCCGATTCTGTGTCTCCCTCTCTCTCTGCCCCTCCCCCGTTCATGCTCTGTCTCTCTCTGTCCCAAAAATAAATAAACGTTGAAAGGATACAATTTGTGTTCAGCTTATAGGCAGAAAAAAATCTTTTTAGTCATAGTTTTGAATGGGATATTCATAAGAGGAAGCTTTGCAATATATTGTGTTAGGTATGCAGTAGAGCATTTAAATAAAGCAAAAACAAAGAAGTAACTGATGTATAAAAATACAGGAAATTGCAGCTATAGAGGAAGAAATGATAAATAATCCTGTGTAAATGGAAATTCTCTCCTATTTACAAGTACTTTCACTAACAAAACCTTTTTTTTAAATTTTTGATAAATACTGCAATAATACATATCATGAAAATTTGGGTATTACAGAAAAGAAAATAAGAAAATGAATCACCCATAGTGTCATCACCCAAACAAAATATCTGTTCATTTTTGGCATCTTTTGTAGTCTTTTAAAATCTGCTTGACTTTTTTTTTTTCCTCAAAGGGAATTTACAGTTTTACATTTTTCTTTTTAAAAACAATACCTACTACATAGTTTTCACTGTGTTCCAAGTCCTACCTCCAACACATCCATCACAGTGTAGCTTCAGGGTTCTTCCCTGGAAGACTCTTCCTTGAGTTGTCTGCTGGGATGCTTCCTCACCTCATACGGGACATCAATGAAGTCTTCTCTGGCTGCCTGGCCATTCTGTCACTTACAATGTTTTAGTATCTATTCCTCTCCCCCTTGCCTTTTGGATTGCAAGATCTGTGAGACCTTGAACTTTTGGTTCATAGTAAATCCTCACCACTTGTAAAATGTCTGGTGATAGGAAATATTCAGTTGCCAAATACAGGCATACCTCATTTTATTGCACTTTGCTTCATTGCACTTTGGAAATATTTTTTTGCAACTAGAAGGTTTGTGGTAACCCTGCATCAAACAAGTCTGTCAGCACCATTTTTCCTGCAGAGTTTGCCTACTTCGTGTCTCTGTGTCACATTTTGGTAATTTTCATATTTCAAACTTTTTCATTATTATTATATTTGTTATGGTGATGCGATCAGTAATTTTTGATGTTACTATTATAACTGGCTTGTGCCACAAGCCACACCCACATCAGACAGCAAACTTAATCGATAAACATGTATTTTGACCACTCCACCAAACCTCCTGTTCCCCTTCTCTCTCCCTCTCCTCAGGCCTCCTTATTCTCAGAGACACAACAGCATTGGCATTAGAACAATTAATAACTGTATAATGGACTCTTAAGTGTTCAAGTGAAAGGAAGAGTCTCAAGTCAGTCACTTTAAGTCAGAGGCAGAAATGATTATGCTTAGTGAGGAAGGCATGGTGAAAGCTGAAATAGGCCAAAAGCTAGGCCTCTTGTGCCAAATAGTTAACCAAGTTGTGAATGCAAAGGAAAAGTCCTTAAAGGAAATTGAAAGTGTTAATCAAGTTAACTTATATGAATTAAGAAAACAAAACAGCCTTACTGCTGATGTGGGGAAAATTTTGGCGGTCTGGAGACATCACCAGACACAACGTTCCTTTAAGTCAAAGCCTAATCCAGAGCCAGGCCCTATCTCTCTTCAATTCTATGAAGGCTGAGAAAGGTGAGGAAGCTGCAGAAGGTAAGTTTGAAGCCAGCAGAGGTCGCCATGAGGTTTAGAGCAAGTAGCCATTGCCATAACATAAAAGCGCAAGGTGAAGCAGCAAGTGCTGATGTAGAAGCTCCAGCAAGTTCTCCTGAAGATCTAGCTAATAATAATTAATAATAATTAGGATGATTCATGAAGGTGGCTATACTAAAAAACAGATTTTCAATGTAGAAAGAACAGCCTTGTATTGGAAGAAGATGCCATCTAGTATGTTCATAGCTAGAGAGAAGAAGTCAATGCCTGGCTTCAAAGCTTCAAAGCCAGACTGACTTTCTTGTTCTGGGCTAATGCTGGTGACTTTAAGAGGAAGCCATTGCTCACTTACCATTCCAAAAATTTTAGGGCCCCTAAGAAATATACTATGCCTACTCTGCCTGTGCTCTATACATGGAATAACAAAGCCAGAACATTTCTTTACCACACGGTTTACTCAAAATTATAAGCCCACTGTTGACACCTACTGCTCAGACAAAAAGATTCCGTCAAGATATGACTGCTCTTTGAAAATGCACCCAGTCATCCAAGAGTTCTCATGGAAATGTGCAAGGAGAATAGTGCCTGTTTTCATGCTACCACAGCATCCATTCTGCAGCCCATGGATCAAGGAGTAATTTTGACTTCCAAGTCTTATTAATTAAGAAATACATTTTTGTACACTTTTGTGAGGCTAGAGTTGCCATAAGTAGTGATTCATCTCATGCGTCTGAGCAAAGTAAATTGAAAACCTTCTAGAAAAGATTCATCATTTTAGATGCCATTAGAACATTCGTGATTCATAGGAAGAAGACAAAATATCAACATTAAGAGAAGTTTGGAAGAAGTTGATTCCAACCCTCATGGATGACTTGGAAGGGAAGGGTTCAAGACTTTAGTGAAGGAAGTAACTGCCGATGTGATAGAAACAGCAAGAGAACTAGAATGAGAAGTGGAGCCTGAAGATATGACTGAATTGCTGTAATCTCATGATAATGCTTTAATGGATGAGTTGTTGCTTCTTATGGATGAGCAAATAAAGTGAGTCTTTGAGATGAAATTTACCCCTGGTGAAGATGCTATGAAGATTGCTGAAATGACAACAAAGGATTTAGAATATGGTGTAAACTTAGTTGATAAAGCAGCAGCATGTTTTGAAAGGATTGATTCTAATTTTAAAAGAAGTTCTATTGTGGGTAAAATGCTATGAAACGGTATCACATGCTACAGAGAAATCATTTGCAAAGTCCATCGATGTGGCAAACTTCACTGCATTATTTTAAGAAAGTGCCATTGCCATCCCAGCCTTCAGCAACCTCTACCCTAGTCAGTCAGCAGTCATCAGCACTGAGGCAAGACCCTCCACCAGCAAAAAGATTATGACTCGCTGAACGCCCAGATAATGGTTAGCATTTTTTAGTAAGAAAGTATTTTTAATTAAGGTATGTGCATTATATCTTTAGACACATGCTATTGTACACTTAATAGACTACAGTGTAGTATAAACATAACCTTGATATGAACTAGGAAACCAAAACATTCATCTTAGTTTATTACCAAGCTGAGAATAAATAGCCCAGGAACTCAACATGAAGTTGAGCATAATTCAGACCCAGTGGTGACTTTCTATGTTAGCAGGGATTCAACAAGCCACTAAAAGCAAGGCACAAGAAGTCTCCAAGGGAACTGCACCCAGCTGAAATCAGGATCTGCAGTGATAGGTGATGTAAATCAAGTCTTGCCGGGTGGTCTAAGGAAACCGTGGAAATAAAGATAACCCAAATGAGAATAAATAGAAGCTATTCATTCAGAGATTATAGTAAGGGAGTCAGCCATCATCACTTACATTTGATGGAGACTCAAAGGAAAGTAGGAAAATGAGAAAGCTCTAATATTGAAAACAATGGAAGACTTCAAGTATGCTGTGATTGGGGGTGGTTGGCATGGGGAAGCTAGAGATTGGTTAATTAGAAATGTTGCATTTTATGTGATTAATTTGAAGAGCATATTTGGCTTTCTCTGGTTGGTGCTGAGTTGGAAGCAGAAGGAGGGAGGAGTGAAATACTGGGAAATTGGCAGTTATTGACAAGGTTTTGACCATTCTGGGATGATTACTGCAGAGTACTGTTTTCATATACAATCTGGCTATTGTCCATCTGTGTATTTACTGTTTCACATGTATTCTAATATCAATTTCTTTGCCTCCTTCTGACTTCTGAGTATTAAGTCTTGAGAAAATGTAAGTACTTAATCAACAAGTTACTATTAAGATGTTTAAGTTATTTTTCTGCCTTCTACAATCATTACAAGAGAAAAATTTGCCAACTTCTACACTTCCTATATATATTTACTATTTCCATTGATGTTTCAGTAGCACAGTGGAAAAGATATGGTGGAATCAAAAGTCTACCTAGCCCCTCAAATGCAGAAGAATTTTCAAGGTTCTTAACTATAGCTTCAGTTCCTTCAATGTAATATAAGGATGATACACTAACCACTTCCCAAGATCGTTCTCATGAGGCAGATCTTTTCTCCTTTATCCTATGGTTATACTACACTTTAGCATCCTTGGAATCATGGATCTTTGATATAAATTGTATTGATTGGCTAAATGATTCAGATGTTCCCTTACTGTGAAGTATTACGTTTTTGTTCCCCCCCCCCCCCCCCCCCCCCCCCCCCTTAGAGGCTGAAAAGCTTCTCTTGCTATCCATGTTTTCTTCTTTGGGATTATGTCCATTGGAGACATACTTCTACACTGAGATTACTAGTTTAAAGTATAAAAGTATGTATGCTTCATAAAATACACTACCAATATTTTTCCAAGGTCTTTCAGTGTTTTTTTAATTATTTTTTTAATATTTATTTATTTTTTGACAGAGAGAGACAGAGAGAGAGTGGGGGGAGGGACAGAGAGAGAGAGAGAGAGAGAGAGAGGGAAACACAGAATTCGAGGCAGGCTCTGGGCTCTGAGCTATCAGCACAGAGCCCGATGTGAGGCTCAAACCCACGAAATGTGAGATCATGACCTGAACCTAAATCGGATGCTTAACTGAGTCCCCCAGGCACCCCAAAAGTCTTTCAGTGTGTTAAGATCCACTGGAATCAAAAGTTGGCTGAGAAAAAAGATTTGACTATACTGAAAAAAAAAAAATGGAAGACCAGAAACCACAGTGACAGGAGCCAATTTCTTCTTTGGCCGTCTTGTCATATTTTATAAGAGGAGGAGGAGAGAAACACATGAAACAGATTTATATGAAGGATTTGTTTTGAATAATAAATTTTAAAATAAAAATCCTTAACACAAAAACATTTTGCATGTAATTAAGCTATTTGCAAACAGAGAGTTGATGATGTTAACAATTCTCTAAAGTTGTGTGAGGAGAAATTTCTTTAAATCTTGGCAGTGCCATCTCTATGATCAAATTCATGAAACTTACTTGGCATCAGGGATAAAGTTTAAAGGTAAGGTTTTATTGAGTGAGGCAGAGCTGGAAGAGGAGGGGAGGAGAGATGACGAAATGCCTTTTTTCTTTTCATCTGGACAGGGTACTTCCCTTTTTCCTCATAGGTTTCCCCTTGGGCACATGTGCTGTCACACTCTGAAACCATGGCAGGGACGTAGGTTGCTGCATGGGCTCCCAAATTATAATCCCCACTACCTTCCAGATGTGGGAGTGGAATCAGCTTCAGGAAGGAAGCTTTGGCCATTAGAATCAGAAAGTAGAAGAAAAACAAGTGCAAGGTGCCAGGGGAAGTTTTCTGGGTGCAAAGCACAATGCCACAGGCTATTACCATTACTGTCCACAGGCTGTAGTGCCCTCCTGAACACCTCCCCAACCACTCCTCTAAGTACAACCATATCTAGCGAATGACACAGAAGGGCCAGTTCAGCACCAGCTCACTGTGTGCCTGTGGCTAGAACAAATGCACTTGCCCAGAGCTGCTGCCTTACAGTTAGGTTTAGTTTCAAAGGGTTTAGCTTTGTTCCTTTCCCTGGAAGTACGAGGTTATAAGGAACAGAGCATTGATGCTGTGGGTCGCTGCTGCAGGAACTGCTCCTGTGACCTCATGCTTCTGGGGGGGGGGGGGGATCAGGTGGCAGCAAGAAACAGGAAACTAGGAGAGCATCAGGATTCCTTTAGGCGATCCTCAACCCACTCCCCTAGACAATGAAATAGGTTGTGTTCTTCCTTGGAAAGGAAGGGCAAGTGACACATCAGGTCCTCCACCCAGAGAAGAGACTGCAGGGCCATGGGCAGGAATGGTGACGAGCCTGAGTCCCACTAACAGAGCTCAGGAAATCCACAGGGGTGCTGTGTGGGGAACATGAGGAAAGTGCCCTGTAGCCTTTTGATAGGGATCAATAGCCTCACCTACAAGTCATAAAAGAGCAGATAATAGGGACAGTGTGACAGGAGGCCAATGGGGCGCGGCCAGGAAGAAGTGGAGACATTCTGGGAAAAGACTGTGTGTCTTCCCTGACTCCACCCCCCGGAGTAGATGGACACTATCTGCATCCCCTGTGAGGCATTGTTTCCCCTTCGAAGGTTCCTTAGCAGCTGGGACATAGTAGCACTTAAAACAGTAACTTCAGGGGGCACCTG